GTTAGAAATATCAAATGCTGATTTTCTTGTTTTATATTTGAGTAGAGAGGAGCTACAATTGTATATGCAACTCACATTTTCGACGGTCTAGAGACATGGGCTAGTCATTTGGCTTACATTAATGGAGGAGAGCTGAAACTCTCGGCCAAATTAGATGAGATCAAGGATCTCAAAACCTCACCAAATCTGCTCTCTGTAGTTGAATCTTGGCTCCGGTCTGAAACCAAAGTCGAGAAGAAGACAAAGAAGAAACCTGTTGTTACCTCTCCATTTATGTCGTCTAGACAAATGGCATATTACCGATGAATCTACATATATGCCTTTGTTTAAGAGATCAGTAAGAATAAGAGCACTTCTACTCTACATATATGCCTTTGTTTTCTATGATACTTCATTTTTTAGAATCCGATGATTTTTATCATACATATGAAAAAAACCTGTAACACTACGTTTTTTAATTAAATTATTATTCTACGTTAATAGATCGGATATTACACGTATGCCTCCTCAATACTAGTATTTTGGGTACAATTCTACTTTTTATAAGTGTTGTTTCCAATTAAGGCTAATGAATCTTGTGATTCTTGTTCAAGATTTAATATTCTCACAAAATTACAGTTGAAAATAAATAAATATCTAAGTAGTTTGAGTTGTTTAGACAAAAAGTAACCAATTCATCTAGAGTTTACGGAAAACACTAAGAGGGCTGAGAACTCATCACTAGCCCAAGTTTCAAGATTTACTTGATACTAATAGTTACACATTGGTCGCTGATTCGAATGACATTTGAGAGAAAACATTACATGCTTTGGTTTCCGGTCTAAAAAAATGTAGGGGTCTAAATCCAAAACTTCTTAATAGTTCAAAATAGAAAGTAAACAAAACAATAGTTACACACTTACATTTGTTTCAATGTATATGCCTAAATCATTTTTGTTGTCATAAACTAATCACTCAAAAAAAAAAAATACAATCAAGAATATATCACAATTTTTGGTTGAATATATTCGTAGCGGTAGTATAGTTTAGCTTGTTTTTTGCTTCCTTCTCTCTTATCTCTCCAGTGTTTCCTTTTACTCGAGCAAGGGTTGGATTTTGTCTCAGATCTACATTTATAGATTTAGATCTATCCTAGATCTATGTCTATTTTGGGGTTTGATGTTCGTTTCCTCCCTCCAGATGTTGCTGTCTCCGGTGGTTGGTATTTAAGAAATCAACGGCGTGCCGTTTGGTGAGTCAACAATCTGGATTTTGCTCGCCGACGAGGAGATGTCGGGGTTGAGAAGGGTTTTGTTTGTTTTAGCTCTGTAATTTTATGAGATTATGTCTTTTCTGTTCAATCCTCTTGGCTGGCCTTTCCCTAGGACTTAATCGAATCGCATCCGTCACTATTCTTTCCCTCTGAAGGCTTTGGTGAGTCGATCAAGCGGCTGTTTTAGTCTCCTCCACACGAAGTTATTTTCAGGTTTGGTCGAGACCTGATTGTTTGTGCTGCCTCCTAACCGGTTCGACATTTGTTTCGATTTCTCCGGCCCCTGGCAGTTTCGTCGGTCTTGTCAATTATCTTTTGAAAGATTTGTCTTGCCATCCCATGGAAGCACAAGTTTCAAATTTCTGAAGTCTACCTATATCAAGCGAGGACAAGTAGAGTTGAAGCTACGGTTGGTTATTGTCGGTGTTCTAATATGTCTAATCGTTTTTCGCTCTCGGGTTTGGACCAGTTTTTGAGTTTTGAGTAGTGATGTTTGCATATCTCATTGAAGAGCTTTTGTTTGTATAAGAATTTGTTTCCCGTGTAGTCGGGCTTTGTCTCTCGAGATTCCGAGCTAGGTTTAGTCGGAATCTGCGGGCTTTGTCTCTCGAAATTCCGAGCTTAGTTTAATCGGAATTTGCGAAATTTGTCTCTCGAAGTTCCGAGCTTAGTTTAGTCGGAAATTGCGAGCTTTGATTCCGGTGTGTCTGGCTTATGTATTCTTCCTATGTATCATTCCCTTGATTTTTAATATTACCAGATGACAAAAATATATATATATATATATATATATATTCGTACAAATACAACTATTTACGTTTAATCATGATTGGTTAAAAGTTAAAACTAGCAAACTCCAGCAAAAATTCAGGTTTGTATTGTTTTTTTAAATCAACTACACAAAATACAAAAAAAGTATATGTGTTTGGCGTATAATTTTTTTTTTTGTAACAAAATAAATAAATTAAAATACTATTGTTAAAACAATGTTTGCATGATTAAATAAGTCTGTTAGAGCATGTTACGCTTAACCTCTAAAATATATAAAACCAAAAAACCACCATATTAACTTTTGTTCCCCTCTTCACACAACTTTTTTTGTTTGTTTCCTACACAAAACCTTAATCAGGATATTTTTGTTAATTTATCCGACTGTAAAAAAATAATTAAACCTTACTTACCAAAAAACAAAACACAATTTTTTTGTTAAAAAGGGAAACCAAAAAAAAAAAAAACAAAGGAGGACGACAAAAATGTCACAAATCTCCTCCATTTCTTCTCGCCTCTATTCGTATTAATTTACCCAATTTTTCCTTTTCGTTGTTCAACGAAAATCTGATTTCATACCCAATTCCCGAGCCAAATCCATCTAAAGTTTGGTGCTTTTCGTTTTGGGATTACTTCGATTCCTAAATCTGATTTAGGGTTTTAATCAATTCGGCAATCGGGTTTCTTTTTTTTTTTTTTTGACATCAAACACTCCAATATATTAAGTTAAAGGCATACAAACTCCTCTCTAGGAGGAGACGAACGAAGACCAATAAACTTACATAGGAGGATAGATACCCACAGTATGTTGCTTCGAGAGCAAAACAACATCCGGACTTTAATACAATAAAACAAATAACTAGATTGAAGAGCTACAACAAAAGAAATAGAAAAACTAGTGATAGAGAGTTCCACCACGAAGGAAGGATTCTCGTCGATGCGGAGGGCTGTCCTTTTCCAGAATGCCAAGCTCCATGATAACCATTGCCGCAAGGAATACAAAAGACTCCAAGCAGTTTTATACTTCCAATAATGCGCCTGAAGTGCATAAGCACTCATTCCCTGAAAAGGGAGGTCGCAAAAAGGACGAGATGAAAATCTCGCAATCCAAAGTCCAAAGTCGTCGAAGAAGAGGAGGATTCGAAACCACACAATTGTATGCAGAGTTCCCGAACCAAGCAAAGAGATGCCGTGAAGGTTAGTGTCTGTGAGTATGAGTGAAGAAAAAGGGTATAAAAGTGCTCCCGGTCTCGCATAGGTAGTCACCCGAGAAAACAAAGTGTTTTGGGACACACCTAAGCATCTCAGGAGGAGGCACATTAGAAATTTACCTCGCCATTGAGGGATGGTAGCAGAAAAGGTCTCTCTTTCAACAAAGGGGAAGTTAAAGCCATGTCTCTCCTCATGGGAGGAAATAATGGAGTCGGGAAACATCAAATCCAGTGTCAACATTCCAATCATGCCATGACCACCTCGGAAAGTGGTTTGGGGAAGTGATCTCTCCAAAGCTGAGGAGGGTTGCGGAAGTGATCTCTCCATAAAGGAGGAAGTTTGTAAAAAATGTTTCTTCATAAAGAAGAAAACTGATCTTGAGCCATCACAAATCAGTAGATATGATTGACAGTAGATTAAATGGCTTGATCGAAATACTGTTATAAAATTGATTTCAGCCCAAAGAGTTGTAAAAACTATGTTACGTTTCAGGTTAAAGGGCTTGAAAAATGTCTGGATGTGGGAGAGAAAATTAAAAGGGTTGGGCTGAAATATAACCAGGCCCATCTTGCCACAGGCCCAAACCTAGGCCAAGACAGTAAACCCTAATTTCTCAACCGTAGAGATGTGTATGAGGCGGTGGCTCGACGGAATTGCAGCAATCAACAGCTGGGAAGATCTCCGGCTTGCTGGGATAGATCTCGAGAGCGGCAGAGTGGGAGGGTTCGTGTAACAAAGGGCTCGTCGGGGAAGAGATCTTTTCCGACGGCGGGTGTAAAGCTGGATGTGGAAGGAGAGAACTTCTGGGTTTGTCGATAGCGCATGAAGATTTATCATCAGCTTCAAAGATGTCATCACCGGAAGGTGAGAAACTGGAGAGGTTCGAGTTGTAGCCATCTTTACCGGAAATCCGAGCTTCCACATTTTGGAAATAGATCTCACCGGCGACCATGTCGACCGGTGGAGGGTGGAAAAAGGTATCACCGGAATAGAAGACCAGTGAAGCTTTGAAGTCCTTGAAAGCGTGTTTAAAAGATCTCCGACCACCAGAACTGAAATCGAAGTGAGAGGGCGGTGATGGTCGGGCTTTGTCTCTCGAGATTCCGAGCTAGGTTTAGTCGGAATCTGCGGGCTTTGTCTCTCGAAATTCCGAGTTTAGTTTAATCGGAATTTGCGAAATTTGTCTCTCGAAGTTCCGAGCTTAGTTTAGTCGGAAATTGCGAGCTTTGATTCCGGTGTGTCTGGCTTATGTATTCTTCCTATGTATCATTCCCTTGATTTTTAATATTACCAGATGACAAAAAAAAAATATATATATATATATATATATATTCGTACAAGTACAACCATTTACGTTTAATCATGATTGGTTAAAAGTTAAAACTAGCAAACTCCAGCAAAAATTCAGGTTTGTATTGTTTTTTTAAATCAACTACACAAAATACAAAAAAAGTATATGTGTTTGGCGTATAATTTTTTTTTTTGTAACAAAATAAATAAATTAAAATACTATTGTTAAAACAATGTTTGCATGATTAAATAAGTCTGTTAGAGCATGTTACGCTTAACCTCTAAAATATAAAAAACCAAAAAACCACCATATTAACTTTTGTTCCCCTCTTCACACAACTTTTTTTGTTTGTTCCTACACAAAACCTTAATCAGGATATTTTTGTTAATTTATCCGACTGTAAAAAATAATTAAAACCTTACTTACCAAAAAACAAAACACAATTTTTTTGTTAAAAAGGGAAACCAAAAAAAAAAAAAAAACAAAGGAGGACGACAAAAATGTCACAAATCTCCTCCATTTCTTCTCGCCTCTATTCGTATTAATTTACCCAATTTTTCCTTTTCGTTGTTCAACGAAAATCTGATTTCATACCCAATTCCCGGGCCAAATCCATCTAAAGTTTGGTGCTTTTCGTTTTGGGATTACTTCGATTCCTAAATCTGATTTAGGGTTTTAATCAATTCGGCAATCGGGTTTCTTGGGATGAAGTATTCGGAGTTTCGGATTTATTGATTTTCATGGTGGGTTTTTCTTTTTGAAGCTTGTTAATGAAGAATTGACTTCTGGAATCTCGATCTCTGAAGGTTTTTCCGATGTTAAATTCTTGAATCTGGGGTTAAATGCTGAATTGGAAAATAGATCCAGGTGCTAATTAAGGAAAAAGGAGGTTTCTTTTTTGATATTGATTTTGGGAATTTTGAGGTTTGAAAGAGAGATCAGAGAAGATGGATCTTGTAATCGGTGGGAAATTTAAGCTTGGAAGGAAAATTGGTAGCGGATCATTTGGAGAGCTTTATCTAGGTAAACAAAAGAAGACCAATTATTGTAAATTTTGAAGATTTCTTCAATTTAATATTTTGGGTTTTACATGTTAAATGTTGAGCAATTTTTTGCAGGTGTAAATGTCCAAACAGGAGAAGAAGTTGCTGTCAAGTTGGTAATAATTTACCACATTTATCAACAACAATTAATCTCTCTATACAAAAAAAATGTTTTCTTTGTAATAATTCTTGTCACATGAAGGCTATGAGAAATTTGCTTTGTTGTTGTTGTTGTGTGCTTTGGATTTGGTTCTTTACTTTTTTTAATTCTCCTTTTGATTGATGCCAATTATTAGGAAAATGTGAAGACCAAGCATCCACAACTTCATTATGAGTCAAAGTTGTACATGCTGCTTCAAGGAGGATGTGAGTGTCACTTAAAACCATCATAGTAGAACTTTCTCGATTCGTGATGATTTAGTGTATATGCTTCTTCATTTACAGGCTTTTATTAGTTTTACATATTGTTTTGGTTGCATTATTGTTTTGCGAATAATTAAAACATTTTTTTGTTTTGTTTTGTTGTGAAGCTGGTATTCCGAACCTCAAGTGGTTTGGAGTTGAAGGTGATTACAGCGTAATGGTTATTGACCTTCTAGGTCCTAGTCTGGAAGACTTGTTTAACTATTGCAACAGGAAGTTCACATTGAAAACGGTTCTCATGCTTGCCGACCAATTAGTGAGTTTATGTATCTGCTAGTTGGTTTCCAGCTCTTCTGTTTCACTGAATGTATGAATTTGTTTGTAATGGAGGTTATTGTTCTTTCTGTTTACGTTTCAGCTTAACAGGGTTGAGTATATGCATACTCGAGGTTTCCTTCACCGTGATATAAAACCTGACAACTTTTTAATGGGACTTGGACGCAAAGCAAATCAGGTGCTTAAATCTATCTTTGTGTAAAAACTTGTGTTTAGACATATTGTGCTTCAAACTTCTGAGATAATTTCTCTCTATTGCAGGTGTATATCATTGATTTCGGACTAGGGAAGAAATACAGAGACCTTCAGACTCACAAGCACATTCCTTACAGGTAAGATATGATGTGTTCTCCCCTTTTCCATTATCCTCACTCAAGGATCTGCATCTTTGCATCTTGATTTCCGTGAACTCAAAAGGAAATTTCAAATATTGTGGCAGAGAAAACAAAAATCTCACTGGGACAGCTCGGTATGCAAGTGTCAACACTCACCTTGGAGTCGGTAAGAATGTTGATCTCTGGAATTTTATGTATTTTGTGTATTTTTTGTCAAATACTTAATTAGTTTTCGCTGCTGTTTGAACAGAACAAAGTCGAAGGGATGATTTGGAATCACTTGGTTATGTTCTTATGTATTTTCTCAAAGGAAGGTTAGTGTCTACAGTTTCTCTGCCTCAGTCTGTCAAATTCTGTATATTTTCTTGAACAAAGGTTAAACTATATGTTTTTCTTTTTTTGGCTATCAGCTTACCATGGCAGGGATTAAAAGCTGGGACAAAGAAGCAGAAGTATGACAGAATCAGCGAGAAGAAAGTGTCAACTCCTATAGAGGTTACAACAACTTGTCAATCCGATAGGATTTTCATTTTGGCGTTTATTGGTAATCTAGCTTTTCCAACTGAGCTTAGTATGTTAATGGAATGTTTTGATGTAGGTGTTGTGTAAAAACCACCCGTCTGAATTCGTTTCATACTTTCATTACTGCCGATCTTTACGGTTTGATGATAAACCTGATTACTCTTACCTCAAGAGGCTTTTCCGTGACTTGTTCATCCGAGAAGGTTCTTATCTTAACATCATTCTACCGAGAAATTTTATTTTCTTACTGTTTCAAGCCGCTCTCGTCTTATTTATTCAAACTGTTGAAACTTTTACAGGTTATCAATTCGATTATGTATTTGACTGGACAGTCCTAAAGTATCCTCAAATCGGAAGTAGCTCTGGTTCTAGTTCACGAACAAGGGTGATTTAAAAAAATCTTTTTCTTGTATTTTTACTCTCTTTGCTTTTGAGTTTCTCTATGCTTATGTCAATGTAAATCTTCGGGTTTTCCAGCATCATACAACAACGAAACCAGATCCTATCGAAAGACAAGAGAGGATCCCAGGTAAAATTCTGCTTCTACTATACTTCTATTGGAAATCTCAGAACCACACAAATTCATTCCTCACTCTAATTTTACTCTTCTTTTTATTTACCATTCGTGTAGGAAAGGAAACAACCCGTTATAAAATCCCAGGTGCAGTGGAGGCATTCTCCCGAAGACACCCGACTACAACTTCTACGCCACGCGATCGTTCCAGATCAAGAAACTCAGATGACGGACCTTTCTCTAAGCAGACAGTAAAAACCGTACTCTTTACATACATTAATCAAAACCGCTAAATAAGACAAAGACTTAACTGTATTTTTTTATTTGGCAGCACGGAGACTCCGAAAGAGCAAACAGTTCCTCAAGATACAGAGCATCTTCTTCTAGGAAAGCCGTTGCTGCCTCAAGCTCCCGGCCAAGTTCTGCAGGTGGACCAAGCGAAAGCCGAGCTTCAAGTCGCCTGGTTTCATCAAGCGGTGGTGGTGGCAGTGGAAGTGGCAATGGCCGTCCCTCGACTAGCCAGAGAGTCCAAGCTGGATATGAATCCAAGACTTTGTCTTTCTCTCGCGCAACAGCTTCAAGAAACACTAGGGAAGATCAATTGAGAAGCTTCGAGCTTCTCTCTCTTCGGAAATAAAGCTAAATGATGAAGAGAGAGACAGCAAACTCCATGAAAAACCCAAAGAAATTACCTCTGAGAAAGATGAGAATCTTGGTTTGAGGGAATTCATATATTTGAGCTTGATGAAATTCTCATATCTTTTACATGTAATTTCAGCTTCAGCTTGCAGAGATCTTTCCCACCACTCGTCGTTTGTTTATGTAATTGTGATGTGTTAGACAAAATAACAATCAAAATGTAGAGAGAGTTTCTATGTAAAAACGGTGAGACTTCTATCCGTATATTCGATTACTTCGAACCTATCTGTACTGTACTGTAATAAACAAAACAATCAACTGCTCTTTGGTCTCTTTTAATGCCAAAGCTCTTCCTTTTTCTGGGCATTCATTTTCTTGTAAAAATTTGACTTTATTCTCAGCTATCCTGTTATATTTCTCTTCGTGCTAAGTTAAAGAAGAGGAAAAAATCCGAAAAAACCGTCATCTATTTATTTTTTTTGGCCGTTTAATACATGTACTGTAGTTTTAAAATTGGAATAAAAGTACCTCGTTTAATTGTTGTTGTTTTTAAATTCTTTGTTTTTTTAAATTTTGGTAGATTCGTACATCCGCCTTAACGGCTGTTAAGTTTCGATGGAGGTCGCAAAGAAGAAAACCTTATTCAATTACCATGCTGAGACGACTTGATCATTTACGATTATAATTTTCATACTGTATTGTTGTTTTTATATTTAAATATTTTAAGTGACATGATGATTGTAAATTTCAATTTATAATTTTTATTTCGGTTATTACTAATACTTATTAAATTTTGTTAGTTAACTAGGATTTAACCCGCGGTACACCGCGGTTCTACATTCAGTACTAAACTAACTTCACACAGTTTATTATTCACATAAATTACCAGTTGGATCCAAACCGGAAAAAAAAAATCGAAAAAGTTCCGTAGAGTTCATAATTGCATAAAAGGAATCAAAGTAGTGACTTTCTCCCTATATATAGTCGATATCTCCCCTCTGAAAATGTTGTTTGGCCGTTCAAAAAAAATGAAAACAAAACCAAACAAAGACAAACAAATTCCCAAACAAAAACACGCATCATGAAAAAAATATGAGATAAAAGCAAGCATGATAACGACGTATATGAGAAAATCACTACATTATAAAGCTTTTAAGATTTTTTCTTTTCTAGTGGAGGGATCGTTTGTTTCTGAAGATTGCAAATCTATTCTCTATATATAGAGTGGGAGCGAAATAATGTTTACATGAAGTTTTTAGGTCAAGCCGTTGGAGATATTTAATTTGTCAAAAGATGAATATTTAGAACATTTAATTTAATTTTTTTTTTTTTTTTGACATGTTTGGATCGACAAGACCCGATCTATAGTCAATCTCAATTACGCGGGGTAACGCGATTTAGTGGAGTCGAACTCCGGTGGAGAAGACGGAGTCAAATGGATTTAACCACTTGACTAAAGACATATCTCATGCTCACAAAAAACAAAGGCGCATCCCCATTTAGAACATTTAATTATATGTTTAAAAACCAAAAATATAAATAGGTGTATTTCCTATATTTTCTCACAAAGATTAGTCAACGATTTGGTAAGTTCAAATTTTAGAAAAACCCCTAGTCATCCGTTTGAAGAATAATAAATGTTCATAAAGTTTCATGAAAAAATAAATCCAACGACACCTTGAAGGAAACGGATCAGAATGACTTGATCCGATTTTCTTTTCCTTTTTATTATTAATTTTACCATTAATATGGCTAAGTTTTCATTCTAATATATTTATATATAGAATCAAGAATATAGAATATAGAAACAAAACCGATTTGTTACAATATTTCAAGCCACAATTTCAAAATGGTTTATTCGAAATTAATTATTAATAATATATTCTAAAAGGAGCATTGTCGAGATATTAGCTAGGAAAGATTGTATCCAGATTTTTCGAAAATTTATGTCAAACGAATTTGATTTATATATTTAATTAAATAAAACAAATTTAAACAATTAATGTCAATAGCACTTTATCGTAAATAAGTACTAACTCGAGGATTTATTTCATATTTGTACTTCAAAAATGTATATATTAACTAGATTTTACCCCGCGGTACACCGCGGGTCGATTTTTTTATAACTAAAAAATTATTTAGCAAAATTTTAAGTTGTATTTGTTTTGTTAATATTGTTTATTTTGTTTAGTGTTTCTGATTTTATATTTAAATTTTGATTTTTAATTCTAAGATTTCATCCATAGTATATTGTTTAATATTAATATCGATCTAAACCCGTTGCACCATATAACCCCGTTCCGTAAAATTAAACATCATTTGTTATTTTTTTGGAATAATATTTTTATCCACTACGGGTCGCAGGTTCATGCGGATAAGCCCGTAGAGAGTTGCGGGTTTGCGTGTCGACCCGCCAAAAGAGAAGCTATCTTTTGAAACCTTTTGTTTTATTTAGAGGTTTTGAGAAAGTATCCCTAAAAAATAATTTTCATTATATGAAAAAAAAAGAAGTAGAAGAAATTGTAATATCAACATTCCCGATTTTTACATCACTCGTTACTATTAATTTTTTTTTTTGCAAATAAAAATCAGAAGTTAACTAAGTCGAGATTTTTAAAAAGACTGTGTAGAGATTTTTGGTAAATTGTTGAGAACATATTTGATTTCAAAATCTTTACTTAAATAGATAAAGAAAGATTTTGTAGAGACTTTTGCTAAAATTTATGTCAAACGAATTTGATTTATATATTTAATTAAATAAAACAAATTTAAACAATTAATGTCAATAGCACTTTATCGTAAATAAGTACTAACTCGAGGATTTATTTCATATTTGTACTTCAAAAATGTATATATTAATTCTTTTTACTAATGTAAAGAAATACATAATTTATATATATTTTAAAATATAGAATTCTCTCAAATATATAAATATAAACTGAAGAATATATAGCAATGCGACAAACAACAAACACTTCTAGCAAAAAAAATTTAGACGTTGTAGTTGATCTTTTTAGCTAATCATTGTGTTGATTGTTACGGTACCATTAACAACTTACCAAATAAACATGGTTTGATCTATGGGTGTTCTGATATTCAGATCGGTTCCGGTTCGGTTCCATTCGGTTTTGGTTCGGTATCGGTTCGGTTTTAAAGTGTAGTATCTATTAGAGTATTTTGTTTCGGATATTTCGGTTATTTTAGAGTATTTTTGGATATTTTTGGGTATTTTTAATATTTTTGATTATTCGGTCTAAATTAACTAATATTTTTGGATATATAATTGTATTTCGGTTCGGTATTGATTCGGTTCAAGAATTTAATATCCATTTGGATATTCTAAAATTTTGATTCGATTTTGGTTCGGTTCTTTTTGTTTTGATTCCGGTTCGATACATTCAGTTGGGTTAATTTGCCGAAGCCTAATTCGATCGTCGTTGCGTTCTTCCACGACACCCAAAACGAACATGATCGCAACGGAAAGTACTAGTAGAAAGGATAAAGACGCTGGATTTGGTTGACTTTTTTGGTCAACGTTGAGGACTAAAAGTGGAAAACAAATACCACCACCGCTACTGGACTGAGTATTATTAAATCAAATTAATTACTTTTCCTTCTCTTTAATTCATTTTCTCATCAATAACATCAACTTTCCTGGAAAATTTCTATCGTCTTCGAACTCTTTGTATTTCCTCTATTTTCGAACTGGTTATTGATCGGAGAGAGAGATCAGTGTTCTTTGATCTTCCAAGTTCTTCCATGTTTACGCTTGAATCTTAGTATTCGAATTGCAGAAGAAGTTTGTATAGGACTCTATTTTGCTTATCGAATCGTTTCTTTTGTTTTCGTTTAGTTTCTCTTCTTCGAGTTGGTGTTTCTCAACTAAGTTAGTAGAGTCTCTCGATTGTTCAGAGAAGCTTTTGTTGATTTCGTGGTGATTTTGGCAGAGAAATTTAAGAAATTAGGGTTTCGATCCAATTTTAGAATTGACTTCACGGAATTTCGAAATTGAGTTTTGTTGTTGTCGTTCTGGTTCACAGTGAATAAGATAAGAGGTCATGGAAATCGATGGTGTGAACGATGTTCAGATTTTGGATCCTGAGCTCTTGCAGCTACCGGGTTTGTCTCCTGTATCACTTAAAGCAAACCCTCATATTGCTGAAGAACTCTTCTCCCAGTGGCTATCGCTCCCTGAAACTGGCCGATTGGTAATTTTATTCCCAAGCCTCTATGTGGTTTTAGTTGATTGCTTGAAACTCTGGCTCCTTGGAATCAGTAGTATGTATATGTTGGTTATTGTTTCTTTGTTTAGTTTCTTGTTCATTTATTAGTTTGTGCTTGTTTATGTATGCTGATACCTGTTCGTAAGTTCTTTGTCACTAAAATTGTCGTTGTGAGTTCAGCTGATTTCATGTCAGCGCATGGTTCTACATGCTTATTGCTGTTACTGAATCCACGGCAGTTGCATGTTTAGTAATTTTGTTTATTTCTTATAGATTTTACTTACTGTTAGATAAAGAGAGGATGCTTGAATTTTCGAAAAGCGCATTTAGGGGATATAATGACTTAGGTGATAATAGTACTGGGATATAACAAGTCTCTTCTAAGCTTGAAAAGTATTTGTATTTGTGTAGTACCAATTTTCACTTAAAAGTGCCTGATAATATGGTCCAGTGTTGTATGACGACTCATGTTGGTGAAGAAACTTCGGTGGAAGATTTTGTTTATGGTTTTATGTGGTCCTCTTTTAACAGATTATCCGTGTGATGTTTGTGCAGGTCAAGTCTTTAATTGATGATACTAAATCGAGTACCCCAGTCAGTGTATCCAAGAATTGTACCAGTCTCAATGTTGCTTGCGGAAGTGCATTGCCATCTGTGTTTCTGAACAGCGGCACTCCCCCACTATCCCCACGAGGCTCACCTGGGTCTCCCCGTTTCTCGAGGCAAAAGACAAGCCCTTCTCTACACTCTCCTCTGAAATCAGTCAGAGAACCAAAGCGCCAACTCATTCCTCAGGTTTGATTTTATATTCAGCTACTACTCCTCGTATGGATGTCTTACAAACACCAGGAAAAGGCATTACCTTGCTTGAAAGTTGACATCATGATTTTGATTGTTTAATATTTGCTCACATAATTGTTGAAAACAAGATTATAATAGCATTCTAAGTAGATGCAGAACCATGAGAACAATTATAAGAGAAACTACTTTCTTCGGTTAAGTAGAATAGGACAAATTTTTTTAACAAAATAATGAGAAAGAGTAAGTTTATTATGCTAATCCGTTTAACATGTTACATAGTTGAAGGGTAGCTAATAGTGTTCAACATTCTTCGTTGACACTTCTATGCCTTGATATGCTATGCAGTTTTACTTCCAACATGGGCGGCCACCTGCGAAAGAACTAAGGGAGCAATGTATATCCATGGTTGATCAATTTTTTAGTAACTATATAGACGGACTTCATATGGATGGTGATGTTTATATATAAGCTTTTCCACATCACAGTCCTGTTCTGTAAGGAATAGACAAACAGTTGATCTTACAAACACAATCTTGCTATTGTTCAATTGCAGAATTCAAATCTATTACTAAAGAAGTCTGCAAGCTGCCTTCTTTTCTCTCTTCTGTACTATTTAGAAAGATAGATACGAGTTGCACCGGTATCGTTACAAGGTAAATCCTTTTGTACTTTCTTTTCATATGTGTAATAGTAGTTAAGTGTATATATACAGTTATACACAAGTATTCATGTGTGTTTCATGTAATATAATAATAGAACACATTGTTCTGGATTTCCAGATGCACGCTCAGCTATTTGTTTCGTAAATTGCACACCCTTAAAAGAAATGGACTGTGGCATAATAACTTGAATACTTGATTGTTATCTTTTTTAATCTAAGCCACTTTTATACAATTTCTATTTACTTTCAATAAAATTAGTGTGCTCGATTTGATATATTGTTTAAAACATTTGTAATTAAGCAATATTGAAGTATCTACGCTGTAGATTTTTTTGGAATTGATACATCTTTAACTTTCTGTTTAGCTAGTATCTTTAAATTCACCATATTTGGTTCCTTAATATAATGTTTTCCTGCAGGGATGCATTTATCAAGTATTGGGTTGATGGACATATGTTGGCAATGGACGTAGCCTCACAGATATATAATATTTTACGGCAGCAAGGTTGCAAGTACCTTAGACAGGTCTCTTTGTGATTCTTTTCCCAGTTCTTCACTGCTGTTTTGATTTGTTTACCAAAGATTATCGTCTCTCTTGATTCTTTAGTTCATTATCCTGAAGGCTTATGTCTTTTCTTGGATTTGGGATAGGCTGATTTCAAACCAGTTCTTGAAGAGCTTCTGACAACTCATCCTGGCTTGGAATTCCTCAGGAATACACCTGAATTTCAAGAAAGATATGGTAATCAATAGTTCTACGGAATGTCTGTTTTCTACTAGATTAAGACGTTCATATTCTTTTCATATATTTGATCTTTTAAAAATGCATTGATGTACTTGAAAGTGACACCTTTAGCCGCTTTGTTTGGCTTTGGAAAATAATTCTTCCTATTTTAAATCGATGGGCATTTTCCATTATATTATATCTTGAAAGTTATGAGATGACACTTAAATATATTATATTTTCAGGTGCGTACTGTTTTATACATCTATTGACTAAATTATATTCTTTTTCCTGTGCTTGTTTCATTCATCACTGTGTTCTATTCCGTCTATCCAGCTGAGACCGTCATCTACAGAATATTTTACTACATAAACAGATCAGGTACTGGTTGCATTACCCTTAGAGAGCTGAAGCGTGGGAATCTTATTACTGCCATGCAACAAGTTGATGAAGAAGACGACATCAATAAAGTTATTAGGTGACTTTGTTTTCCTTATCATCATTTCTTAAACAGTACTTCAAAAAGATTTCAATTTTATTTTTATTATTTTTATAATACAGTTTAAGTTGTTTAAGAATTCAAGCTTAGAAAAGAAAGCCATCTAGCATTGTGAGTAATATGGGTAGTGCGTAGGTCTTCATATTGTTTCTTAGACATAAGCACTACCAGTAAAACTTATAAAGGGGAAGAAGTATATTGGTAGTTCGTATTGATACTGAGGCAGGACATCATGCGTGATTTGACCATTCAAAATCACATTTTCTCTGCTTTTCAGGTACTTCTCCTATGAGCATTTCTACGTTATATACTGCAGATTTTGGGAACTCGATGGCGACCATGATTTCCTTATTGATAAGGAAAATCTCATCAAATATGGTAATCATGCACTTACCTACAGGATTGTCGACAGAATATTTTCACAGGTTGGCTCCAGATGTCAAAATTACTGAACACTTTTTTCGAAACTTAATCGTGGTCTTATGGGATGTGTTTCATTCTCTCTTGACTGAAATTATGGCTGTCTCTCACTTAGGTCCCTAGGAAATTTACAAGCAAAGTTGAGGGGAAGATGAGTTATGAAGATTTTGCATACTTCATTCTCGCTGAGGAGGATAAGTCATCTGAGCCTAGTCTTGAGTATTGGTACACGTCTCTTCCCCTCTCCTCTTTTGTCTTTATCGACTTCTCCTCAGCCATTTTTTTCCTTTAGCTGCTTACCTCACAGTATGTCACTATAAATGTATAACTGCTGAGCCAAAACTTGTCACATATGTGGCCTTCTTGATGAAACAATGTCTACCTGAGATTTTGAATTCACTAAACATTAAGTAGTACCATTAGTTCATGAACATAGAATACTCATATTGAAACTTTGTCTGGGTAGTGATCTGTAGCTCGTTTTTTCATTCATCATCTCATGAACCTAAAACACTTTCTATTGAACAGCTGATATGATGTTAAGCACAGGATCTTGTCAGCTTTGTGTCTTTTTCCCTTGATTTTGATTAAAATCATCTTTGCAGGTTCAAGTGCATAGACCTGGATGGAGATGGGGTGATCACTCCCAACGAAATGCAGTTTTTCTACGAAGAGCAGCTGCATCGCATGGAATGTATAACCCAGGAACCTGTACTCTTTGAAGATATCCTATGTCAAATATTCGACATGATTAAACCTGAGGCAAGAGTTCTTTCAAACCATAACATGGTCTTTTGATATTCTTGGCTGTTCTGTTTCTTTTTTCTTATTCGAAACATCAATTTGTTGAATGACTCTTTCAGAAGGAGAACTGCATCACACTCCAGGATCTGAAAGCATCTAAACTTTCTGGAAATATTTTCAATATACTCTTCAACCTGAACAAATTCATGGCGTTTGAAACCCGTGACCCTTTTCTGATTCGCCAGGTAAGCGTAGCTTTACTATAGAGTTTTCCTCCCTTTAGTTATTCAGTCCTTGGTTTAATAGCTGTTGAAACTATTACTACTGAATATTTATTATTTTATTAATGCTATAGCAATTCTCAAAAATTATTATAAGTTCTGATAGTCTATATCATAACTCTGGAGAAATTTATTTACAATGCGACTGATTTAGCTAACCTAACTGCTACTGTAGCCGGTTGTATCTGTTCCAGTCCCTGCTAATTCTAGACCAACTTTGTTTTCCATTTCACAGGAACGCGAGAATCCAACGTTGACAGAATGGGACCGATTTGCTCAGAGAGAGTATGTGAGGTTGTCAATGGAGGAAGATGTGGAGGAAGTCTCGAATGGGAGTGCAGATGTTTGGGATGAACCACTCGAATCTCCATTTTAGTGACTCATAAGAGGTACTTTCTTCCATACTGGTCAGCGTCAGAGTTCCTTAAATATCAATCTATGTATGTATGAAATGGCAAAATTGATCTGCTCAATGTTACAGTTTGTGTCTTTGGTACATTAAAACGTATTAAAGACGCTTAAGTTGCTTTTTTACTAGTTTCTTGGGAAGAAGAAGAAGAGGTCAGATCTTCTTGGGTGGTAACAGCCTCGGAAACAACTCTCAGACAACCACGAAAGCTAGTCCCTTACACGGTTCCACCTAGAGATTGGCGACCACAAGACTTCTCCGATGCGTAAGCTTGTGTTATTTCATGAAATATTTGTCTTGCTTAGGTTTTTCAGGTTGGACCCTCTTTCAATCTATGTATATTTTTATATACGCCGGTTTATAGTGTTTTGTGGAACCAACAACAGTTTTTATATTTTAAATCAAAAGAACTATGTACAAAAAAACATTTTTTTTTTGGGTGGGGAGAAGTGTACAAACCTTTGAACTTGTTTTTTACATGTTCAAGTTTCTTTTTATTCGCTTATTTTTCATTAGCAAATTTGTGCATTTTGATATCAATTATGTATCATGCATGATATCAAATCAAATTATTTATGATATATCTTATGTTTATTGATTTAAGCCGACATTGATAATTTGTTTGTTGTAGTGGAAGAATAATCGTACCAGTAGTATTTTGGAAGATGTGTATGTATTATGAATTGACAAGTACTAACACTTTTTTGGTTATCGAGTCAAAATAAAGTCATTAAATTACCTTTAACTAGATTCAAGTAATAATTAGTCACATTAATAATGTGTTAATGATCTTGGAAATAATTGATGTAATAAGTTTGACAACCACAATATGATGACACGTGACAAAAACTTCCCACGCGCTCCTAAAGTGAGAAAATCTTATCCATTTTGATTTTTAACCTTATCCAAGATCCCAAAATCAGCTATTTTCACTGAGAAAATCTAAAAAGTAAAACTCACGCTCAACATATGCGCGTGGTCTTTTCAAATCCTCTATGCATTATTTAAAAAGTCAATTTGTAATTACAATTTGGGATAAATTACCTACCAAAAGTTCTCAATTCAACACAAAATAACCCTAAAATCTCTCAATCTTTTGCAAATTTCAAAATTTGGCCGAGTCAAAGAAATCAAGTGATTCTCTGATCCGATTCCGGCGAAAGAGGACGAAACAAACGGAACTTGTTCATCATCTTCTCCAGAAAATGACGTCGTTTCAGGTGATGCGGTCTACAAACTCTAGAAACTCGGATCTATCTCGTTCGTCTATAAGACCTCAACAACAGTTCAGGCGAGATCTCACTAGTGGCGGTTACGGCGTAAGAAACGACGGATTATTATACAATTCAAATTCGATGACGGTGGAAGGAATTTTACACGATACTTTCGCATCAGATCCACCAGCACCAACGGAATCTTCACTTCTAGATGCTTCGATAACTCTGATGGATGCTTCTCCAGCACCAATGGAGATAACAACGACGGTTTCTGATGTTGTGGATCACGACGGCGGAGGGACGGAGACGACGCGTGGTGGGAAGAGTGTTGATGAGGTTTGGAGAGAGATGGTATCAGGAGTAGGGAAAGGTATGAAGGAAGAGACGCAAGAAGAGATAATGACGTTAGAGGATTTTCTAGCGAAAGCTGCGGTGGAAGATGAAACAGCGACGGCGGAGGATTTAGATGTGAAGATTCCGCCGACGACGAATTACGGATTCGATTATTCTGCGCCGCCGCATAATCCGTTTCAGATGATTGATAAAGTGGAAGGATCAATTGTTGCGTTTGGGAATGGTTTAGATGTTTATGGTGGAGGAGGAAGTGGAGGAGTGAGAGGGAAGAGAGCGAGAGTGATGGTTGAGCCATTGGATAAAGCAGCTGCACAGAGACAGAGAAGGATGATTAAGAATCGTGAATCTGCGGCTAGGTCTAGAGAGAGGAAACAAGCTTATCAAGTTGAGTTAGAAGCTTTGGCTGCGAAGCTTGAGGAAGAGAATGAGTTGCTTTCTAAGGAGATTGAAGAGAAGAGGAAAGAGAGATACCAGAAGTTGATGGAGTTTGTGATTCCTGTGGTTGAGAAACCGAAGCAGCAACCACCGCGGTTTTTACGCAGGATTCGGTCTTTGGAATGGTGATAAAGGTATAGACTTTTGAGGATTTTAGGATTTCTAAGGTTACTTTGTGTATGTTGTGTGTGAGAGAGTATTCATAATCTGCAGTAGAGTGTAATGATTATGGTTAATAACTTAAATATTATATATATTTGCATATGTTACATACTTTGGTTTTGCTGAGACATTGATCTTACTTAGGATGAGCACAATCTCTCTCTTTGCAAGCAGAGTTTGAATCACAAAGACACATTTGAATGATATGTGAGAACATTTAGTGTCCTAGCCTCTAGGTTTGAGAAAAGTGTGAATTAATTGGGAAGACCAGTGAGGTATTCCTCTTCCTTGTTCTCTGGGTTTCGGTTTGCAGAAGAAGTTGGCGCACCGAAGATGAGATACCTATAACCACACAAATCCAGAGGTAATTCACAGACTCAACTCACGATTCTTTTATGTTTCAGAACAATTGAAAGCGTGTTGTGATGATAAATACTGAAACTTTGGTACTGCCTCTTCGTGTTGCATAGTTGAGAGAGTACCAACAGAAACGAGCTTGTTCATTTTGTTCTGAAGAGCTTGGTCTTTGATCCCTAACCATGTCTGTGGAGGAGGTAAAGCCAATAGAAGCGCAGTGAACACATCGTTGCCTACTGGGTACCTCACCTCTCGACCATAGTCACAGCCTTAGGGAACGACATGTTGGGTTGACGCCTGATGGTACCAATAGGTGAACCTCTTGTTCACAACCGTCACTGACCATCACCCTAGCTATCACTGAGGCTTCCTCCACCCCAGGACCTTTGATGCATTTCACAGAAGTTTCCTAACAATAGAAGTCTTCCGATGAGCTCCTTGGCCACAAGCCTTTGCAACTGCATATGACAGACTTTCTTCGTAGCCCACCGAGGTTAAGAACTTGCTGACATGCCCGCACAGTTCCGTTTCATGCACTTGTGTCAGTGCATCTCCTGCATTGGAGGAACCAGCAGAGATTAGATAATCGAATCAAGTCAAGCAAGGATATCGATCGTCATAGAAGCAGGAAAATGAGTTTTTGAAAGTATTCAATCATGGGTCACAACATGGTTTCCCACCTAGTCTTATTCAGATCCCTAGAAAAACTACCTATAATCCTCTGTGCTAAGAGTTGGTTTTGTGTCCTCTGTTCTTCGGATCTCAGCCACCCATTTGATTAATTGGCTGAATTTTGAGGGAAGTGACATGAACATTTGATCTCAGCCACCCATTTTATTTTTGTCAACGGTGGAATTAGCAAGTTTGTGGAATTTTTCCCACGCGCAATCTCTTCTATAAATCCTATTCAAATCAAGAAAGAAATCCAGAGTTTAACTTAGTATCCACCATTTCGCCAATGTCTTCACCAGAGAAGAAGAGGAAGAAGACCTCGACGACTAAGAAACCGTCGCTACAATCAATCGAGAATCCATCACTTCCTGATGATTTGGTATTGAGCTGCTTATCCCGTGTCTCAAGATTGTACGACCCTGTTCTCTCTCTCTTCTCCAACAGCTTTCGATCTCTCCTCGATCCTTCATAGGTTGCACAGAGAGTTGTCTTTATGTGTGCTTACTGTTCCCTCCTGACCCGAACCCTTGCTGGTCCACCCTTTGGAAGAAACTTGATCGAACCTCAACGGAATACATCATTAAGAAGAAGAATAAGTCAAGTGAGTATGTTTTGGCTACAGTACCCATTCCCCATTCTCCTCCTGCGTGTCGGTCAGGTCTCGTGGCGGTTGGTTCTGATATTTACAACATGCGCCGTCATCTAGCGTCTCGATCTTGGATTGCCGGTCTCACACGTGGCTGGAGGCTCCAAGCATGCATGTGGAGCGGATGTACCCGTCTGCTAATGTCGTTGATGAAAAGATTTATGTAGCAGGAGGATGCCCAAATGGTGATCTCTCGATTGAAGTTTTCGATGCAAAGACTCAAATTTGGAATCTTGTGCCCAGCCCTTACTGGGACTGTGGAATGGGAGTCTATATCCAATTATCCATTAAAGGAAGGTTCCACCTTATGACTGGTAGAGAGGGTATGGCTTATAATCCAATGGAAAGTAGATGGGACCAGGTTGAACAAGAAATGGGTCTGAATTGGTTTTGCTGTTCTGCGGTAGAGAATGTTTTGTACTCTTATTATAGGGGAGAGTTTAAATGGTATGACAATAAGGTACAATGCTGGCGAAGTTTGAAAGGTTTGGAAGGACTGCCTAAATTTGTTACTTATAGTCGTGTTAAACTGGCAGATTATGGTGGAAATATGGCAGTTTTGTGGGACAAGTATGCACCTGCAAGTGGGTATATGGATAAGATGATTTGGTGTGCAGAGATTTCGCTTGAAAGGCGAAACAGTGAAGAGATTTGGGGGAAGGTCAAGTGGTTTGATGCTGTGCTTAAAGTCCCCAAGTCTTATGAATTTGTGCATGATCTTGCTGCTACTGTTTGATGAATGACTCGTGAGACGTGCTTCGCTATGGATAAGTGGGTATATCATTATGATTTCAATCTGATGTGTGATTGTGTTTCGTGTTTTTTGGCTGAATGCGAAATATACATTGTTTTCACTTGTAAGCTTTTACTTGCATTTTGATTAGAAGGCTTTACAACATTCATGGCACGAAGAAGTATATAAAGATTCATACTTGAAAGGTGTGTCTTCCAACCTCAAGGATGGTATATGGGATGCTATTGGATTTGAGATGTTTATGGGATGGAAGTAAGGGTATAAAGATGGCATGTTTAGGGGCCAAGTAATATGATGGTGAACAAGATGATTCTATATGTGGTAACTGCGCTTGAAAGACGAAACAGTCAGGAGTTCTCCTTAAAGGTCGAGTGGCTTTGATGCTATGGTGTACTGTTGCCCTTCAATAAGTTCTTGACTGTGAAATGATTGTCCCGTATGTAATGATGAAGTTGCAGAAAAACTGAAGTCTTGTTGCTTAGGCAAAAAAGTTATTTGTTATTGTTCTTAAACCCCAATCAACCGCAAATCGATAAATTATACTCCTGTGTTTTTCTGTGGCGAGTGGATTTATAGTCTGCAGTAGAGTGTGTCATCATAACTTATGATTAATAACTTAATATCATATAGAATGCATCTTACAATATCTCTCATTGCAAATAGAAATTGAATCATACAGAGAATATAAAAGATACATTCTAACAATGAGAAAATGGGGAAGAGAATGAATTTGGGAAGATGAATTAATAGGCAGGAGCAGCGAGATCTTCCTCTTCTTTGTTCTCTTGGCATCGTTTTAGCAGCTGAAGTTGTCGTCGAAGATGCAATACCTACAATCACCCCAAAAATAGTTATTTGTTTATTCTCTAAAAGACTTATATATATCTTAAGTACGAAGATCTTAACCATTTTCCACTAAAGAGAGAACCGTGACTCTTGATGATACCGAGAAATAGAATTGGTAAAAAATTTACCTCTTCTTGAAGTAAAGTTGGGAGGGAAGCCATGGAAATGAGCTGCTTCATTTCATGCATAAGAGCTTGGTCTTTGATCCCTGACCATGTCTGTGGAGGTAACGCCAACAGAAGTGCAGTGAACACATCGTTTCCTGCTGGATAATTTGCTTCCGGGCCACATTCACACTCAGTTTGGGTCGATGGAACCAATAGATCAACCTTTTGTTCATTACCATCACGCACCACAACTCCAGTCACCACCGTGCCTTCAGAGTCATCAGGACCTTAATAAAGAAACAAAAAAATTAGCAGTGGAAATTGCTAATTACTAGCCTCTGATCTAACACTAAAATGTTTAACCTTGATAAGACATTTGAAGAGTTGACTAAATGCAAAAAGGGTCAAACTTAGTTTAAGAATCAACATAGCGACATACCTTTGATGCATTTCACACAAGTTTCCCGACAACAGAACTCTTTCGATGGGCTTCCGGATAAGATTTCAGCTCCTTGGCAACAAGCCTTTGCAGCAGCATATGTTAGACTGTCTTCGTAACCCACCGAGGATAAAAACATATTGATGTGTTTGAACAGTTCAGTTTCGTGCACTTCTTTCAGCACCAATTGCTGCAGTAGATTAAAGTTACTCATGAATAGAAGATCACAGAGAGAATCGAGAGATGAACAGTTTTCATGCAGCTTTGGGTTACTGTGAAAAAAATATTTTGAAAATACCTTTAGTTTCAGCCTTGACTTCTCCTCTGCGCTGAGATTTTGGTTCGAGTCCTCTGTAATTCGGATCTCAGCCACCCATCTGATGAATTGGTTGAAGTTTGATGGAAGTGACTTGAACACAACTGATATGATTTTGTCCACAGAATCTACATGTTGTGAACTTACAAGACGAGGAACATCTTCCTTCAAATACTTTGCTATGTCGATCCAGCTTTCGTCCTTGCAGCTCTGGTAATATAGAAGCAAAATTATCACCAATCCATGACTTTTGTCTTACCAAAACACTCATAAGGATCTGAAGTTCATTCAATACATGTGGAAGAGATACTCTCTTAAAAGTTTCAAATTCACAATCACATCAAAACAGTAAAGGATTTGAGTGACTGCATTAACATAATAGCAAAAATGACGAACAAGATATTAGCAAACTTAAAGAGAACCTATATTGCATCTAACATACCAGAGTGTAGAGCAAACCAGGTTCTCGGTGGGGTCTAGATATCAGCATGAACCTGGTAAGAACACAGAAAAACATTAGACCATATTCTATAAAAAAAATTACATCCATGTTACAGTAAGAATCTAAGAGAAAGATAAGAAAGGATTTTGTACCCTCTACGTTTCCCAGTTGACTGATCAATGCTGTCCATGGCTTCCCAAAGAAGTTTAAGAGGAACCCAGTGAGGAGGATACTTGAAACGAGCAACATCAAGAATCAAAGCCATATCTCTCTCAGCATTATAGCCACCAATAGGTGAAAAGTGACCAGTCCCAGTCTGCAATTAAGATCAGTTACAACCCCAATCGCTTTCAGACGTTTTAAGACTTGAAAATATGACTGATCCTCAGTGTACAGTTATGGTTACCTGCTTAAAGACACCTCTGTGATATGTTGAGATCATATGGCAATTCTCAGAACTCGTGCATTTCACGACAAATTTGCGGAAATCCTCAATAGTGCTCTGACTTGTACGGAAAGCCTCAACTT